TGAACAAAGATTGGCAGTGTACTGTTTATGAATCTTCATTTTATGCCTGATTGTTCCCGTTCGGTATAAAAAATAAATAACTAAAACATAAAAATAAGCATAATGGTCTGCAACCCTTGACATTTTTAAATTATTAATGTAATTCCCTTGATATTGTTCTACTATCAAACGTTTTTTTAAACTCGGAATAATCAACATTCATAATATGAAATTTAAAAAAATGAAAAAAAAAATGAAAAAGTTGGGGTCATCGTGCTTGTTTACGCAGTCGGAAAGCTCTTGAACTGGGATATTTTTACTGGTTTGCGTTAAAAATTCAAATCACCTTCATACAGAATTAAATCTTTGTTATTTGAAACACACAAAATTATCTTGAAAACAAAGCTTCGATCTCAACATGCAACTTATGGAAAGAAAAGAAAAAAGTTTGGGTTAAGAATTAAAATATGACTGAGTTTAATTTCTGACTAGTTTTTTCACAACAGGACAACCTGGCAAAAGACGCAATAAATAATAATTTCCCACATTTTCATACTCTTCTGTTTCAATGTTGGCTCTTTTCCTTGGGAGCGAGGCGTCAGGCGGTGCAACTGCACTTTATGATAAAACACTGTATAAAGAAAAGCAAGAAAATAATCAATCAAAGCATGAAAATAAACCTAGCAAAAATTAAAGGGTATTTTTGATCGCGGGTTACTTGGTGAAACTGTTGGTTCACGGTTTTCTAGCAGCGTGTCGAACATCAGTCTAACGCTCGTCAGCTATGTTCCTGCTCGAATAACAAACTTTAAAAACATTTAAGTTGTGAAAAACATCGTGGCGTTTAACTACAAAATTATTTGATTCTACTTACCACTTTAACACCAAGTCATCAACCGATTTATCGCGATGTCGGAAGGTCAAGAGCAAAGCAAGGATAGCCTTGAGATTTCGAGCTCTCTTTGCGATCAGAGTCGACGCACGATCGCATTTTCAGTGAGTTCGTGAGACTTAGCAGTGCATGGTTCCGATCTTCTAAATTGCTCATAAAGTCATTCTGGCAGCTTGAATTTCCTGCTTCGTTTTCGTGAAAAACAAGCGATCCGCAATTTTTCAGTGGAGGAGTAGGACCTGACAACGACAAATAATGACAAACTGACAAATAATGTTGGCCGTATTTGCGAATGGAAAGCAATGTTTAGAGGATGACCCCAAGGCCAAATTTTGGACTGCTCTTATGGAATGTTTTCCAGAACGAGTTGGTCTACAACACTGATAAAAGCGGTATTAAGATCTACCAGATGACCATCAAATGTATGTTTGTGGTGAAAGCGATGGAAGATGTAGAAAGGACCTTTATGGACGAGGGAAGGGAAATCTCAAATTGGTACCAACTAAATTTGTTTAAATGTAATCCTGACAAATTTCAGTATATCCGTTTAGGGCAGAGGCACATAAACGAAGCAACAAAAAAAATCAAATACGTAAAAAGTGGTACAGAAATAAAGCTATTGGGTGTCACTTTTGATGAGCATCTGAAGTGTACTAGCCACTTAGATGAACTATCTAAAAGAGTATCTGGGAAAACAGGGGTCCTGATGAGACTGAAAAATTTAATACCAACGTAAGCAAAGCTTACAATTTACAAACTTTTATTTTGCCGCAATTAACTTATTTTCAGATGGTATGGCACTTTTGTAGAAAATCTGGTAGCCGGCAGATCTTGTGACTCCAGGAAAGAGCGCTTACCGTATTTATTCGAATAAGCGCCCAACCTCAGGGACGGACCATTATTTTTTGGACTTGGGAGGGAGTCGGAAAAGTTTGAAATAAATTGTGTTAAGAGGCTGTAAAAACTGAGATAAATTGTATGCAAGTAAAAAAAGCGTGTTTGCAGCAAGAGCCGCATATACTACCCGCCTCCCCCCACCCTCCCTCAAAATTAATGTTCCGTCCCTTAGCGTCCCCGCCCACCTCGAATAAGCGCCCATCCTAAAGGCAGAAGAAGATGATTAAGAAGAAGATTAACATTAAGAAGTTGATTAATACGCGCCCACCCCACCCCCCCCCTTCCTCCTCCCATCCAAAAAAAATTAAGTGCACAAGAATAGTATTGATTATTAGAGAGCTTTAGATTCTGAGACGGGGACGACTACGAGTACTATAGTGCTCTTGCGTGAGCCAACGTCATTTTGGCGGGAAAACGTGATAGGCGTCGTCATTCTACCACGAGTTTTAGCGAGAACGTCGCAGTGGTGGAAACTAGAGTTATCAAAGTTTAAGAAGTTTAATTATTTTGCGATCGGAAAACTGCTAAACCGTCTCCAATAAAAATAACCCCACTAACGTTTCAGGTGGAAAATAGTACAATGAATTAATACAAACTTAAAGCAAAGGGGCACACCAATCCACGGTCTGGCCAGTACCTCATGCATGCGTACAGCCGTATCACCCGGGTATTGGTAGCCGTGGACAGCTGTTGCGCGTGGGTTGGTGTATGTGTGCCCCTTGCTTTAAGTTTGTCCTACAATGAATTAAGTTTTCCGGGTTGAATATTTTTCGAGAATACGTGAAAAAACTCGTCCTCAAGCAAACCTAAAACTCTCTATTACTTATTCACTGGCGTACAATTTCTAGATTCATTGTCTAGGCAGCACCAGAGAATTCACTTATTGACTTGAGTGACAATGAGACTGAAATTAAAATTGAATAACTACTCATAAGAGACTTCCCCAAAGACGGAGTTTTCGGCTTCCGAGTATTTTGCAGAAACCTTGCTTTGTTACACATTCGCGTTTTGTTATTACCATTTATTGTTTTGTTGCAAAATAAACATGCTACACTAGCTGAAAATTGTGAAAATTTGATATTAAACGCCCAGCCTCGAATAAGCGCCCATTCTCAATGTTCAAAAATTTATTAGCGCCCACGGCGGTTAATCGAATAAATACAGTATACGTACAAAAACTGTAATTAAGGGTGTGAAAAGGTGATGAAAAATAATTTCATTTAAGGTTAAATGAAATGAATTAAATTGAAAACCCTAATTAAACTTCCTAGCATCTATAACTTTGAATCACAAAAATTTCTTTGTTACCAAAGCACTAAAGAGTGCGTGTATAGACTGCACGTTGTCTGTGAGAATTTTTTTCCTTTCTTGGTTGATTCATTTATAAACAGGTGGTTATCTTTAATTGTACATGAGGGTAGTAGTTTAGACATTTGCTTAGTGTTTCGTTGGTTGGTTGAGACAAACCAGGCCGACATTAGGTGTAAAACTACCTGCAAATATGGATTAGCAATAAATGTCAAATTTTAAAAAATGGCACCTTATGAAATTTTGAGATTTTTACTTGTGTTTTTACAATTCTCGTGAAATTTGGCGTTTATTTCCTCGGGCTTATAATTTCCTTCAGTATATAAAGCACCTTTAAAATTCGGCTATAAAATCGAAACAAGTGCACTTTATGTGTACTGCAGCTGTAGTCTAAAGTACAAGAAAAGGCTCAGAGTGCTAGGTCACAGGCATTTTAACTTTCTAAATTTCGAACAAGTGTCCCCATTTTCCCTTGGGGGTAGTAGAGCAAGCGAAACGCGAGCGCGCGTGAAATTTCTCCACGCGAGAAAAGAAAGACGCGAGACGTGGCGGGGAGCTTCTTGACGCGTCTCGCCTTTCTCGCGTGGGGTGATTTTCACGCCCGCGCAAGGTTTGCTCGCTCTACTATCCCTGACCGCACTTACGGTTTTTTTTATAAGGCCAATGACCGTTTTGCCTGTTTTGAAAAAAAGTGGCCGTAATAACGAGGTGACGGTATTACCGAGGTGGCCGTAAGGCGGGTTCCACTATATTGTCAAATTTGATGCTGTTTCGGTAAATCTTCTTAACGTTAAGGTTTCTTTTCTGCAAATTAGTCTATGGTTCATTACAATATTCTCATTTCAATCGCGCGTTGAGTTTGGATTTTTTATACAGCTATTTCGAGAAAGGTTGTCGCAAAAAAAGTGCTCGCGGTAATCCCGAAAGGTAATATGGGATATGATCAATACACTGATTCTGACACTGTAGCTGTCGAACCTACTTTTGCTGCTTCGCTTTAGCACCCACAAACATAAGTCCATGGCCTCTCGTGCCATTCTCTCAAAATTTCTTTAAAGAACAGTGATCTCAAAACCACCCACAATACCTTTCGGGATTGTCGCGTGCACTTTTTCCGACAACCTTTTTCGCAATAGCTGTATACATATTATTTTCCCCTGATTTAAAGAGCACTTACCTTACTTGATTTGAAAACGATAGCTTTTGATTAACCCTTAATTCTCTCTCATCCGCAGCCAAGGCCTCTTTGTGTTGCGGGGAGGCTAGGGAGAAAGAAAAAGGGAGAGCACGGGGCACGATGGGAAGGGAAAAGAGAGAAGAGAGGCTCCTTTTCCCTCTTCCCATCGTCCCCCGTACGCTTTCTTTCCTATTTATTTATTTTTTTCGATTATTGCTATTTTTTTTAGGGATACCCAGCTGGAGCCTCTGCGGAGGAGAGCGCCCTTAATTCATACTCAAATTAGCGCTGGAGATGGTTATTTTATTCGTCAAGTCCAGAGATGGAGGCTTACTGCAAGGGGAGACCTACTTTGCTAGCGTCTGAGAATAAGGTCCTAGTAAGCGGTGGGTATATTTATACTGGGAGCCACTCGGATCTTCTGGAAATTTTGTCATACTTTTTAGCACTTTCATACTCAATAGACATAAATGTGAACTAAAGGGAAAGACAATGAACAAGCTATGAACATTTTCCAAAGATATCGTCACTATATAACATACCAAGATGAAATCAATTTATTCAGAAAAAGCCTGCCTGGCTTTTGTGCATGTTCACAGCTGCAGTAAAAATACGGGCACAGAAACTGAGAAACCTGTGATGAGTCTGGCGTTTAAATAAAAGTTATAAGGATATAACAACGCTGGAGTGCATCTCAACACAGTCACAAAACACAGTAACTAGTCAGTAAGATGCTCGGGTGTGTTTTTATGTGTTAGGTCTTATTTTCATCTCTGTACGTTTCAGGGAATATCTATATCCCCTGAAATGATACCATGTGATTCCTGTAGGGTAGCTCGATGAATCGGTTGGACCACTAAGGTATAGTCCGTTGAGGTTGGCTGCATGACAACTCCTGTACCACCAGGCGCCTTTACTTCGTACAGTACAATTGGATTCTGCACCGTCGTTATCTTGATCCTTTGTAGTAAACATTTTATTGCTATAGATTAAAAAAAGGTAAAATGCTTTTAAAAGTCTCAACCTCTGAACATTTTCATACTAAAAAATCTTGGTTCAGTGGCAAATGAATTGCTTCCTCGGGTATTGGGGTCAAAATTTGGAGCGTGATACCGCAAATTCTTAAAAGAAAGTAAAAAGGACGGAAAAAAGCGCTTCAAAAGATCAATAATAGGAACGCTACCTTATATAATTCAAACTAAAGACTGCTATATTGACGAAGAGACGATTATTTTGTAAACGAAAAACTAATTCTCTTGTCCTTTATTCTTTAAAATTCACTCCAATTGTTTCCCTTGTATTAAAGTAGAATAATAATTGTTTATATAAAATATATACTTATATGTAGAGTCTATATAATGTCTAATTTTTTGGTATTTATTCAGCTTGTAGCACTGTAATTATGTACCCTGCCCTGCCTCGACTAGCCCTGCTAACTGCATGCCAGTCATAAATACTTTTTGTACTTTATTTACGAATTCAAGTAAAAGGTTGAAAGTCTCGGCCTCTAATAGCACCAGAGGCTAGGACTTAGTGGAGTCCGATTCGGTCTAAGAAGTTTAATCACAAGTATGATTACGGACAGAATTGGACAACACAAAGTTCTGTTACCAGTTCATCATAATTATAACAAAACTTGTGATATTTTATGATTAAAAAAAATATACACAAAATTCCGCGCGATTCCGAACTGTCCTATTAGTGCTGAAATCAGGACAGCTGATAGCCAATCAGATTTGTGAAATCTTGTTATAGAAATGATTATTAGCACAATCAGCTCTTCATCATGGACTCTGTAATGGGACAAAACTGATATTGATATTACGCCTCTTACTTTGCACTCTGCTTGTTTAACAGGGAGTCCCCAGCCGTGCCCTTGTATCCACCAATACGAAGCCGGTATTTATTTCCCTCGTCAGCCACCTTAAATGTCGTGTACTCAGCGTATCTGACGTCACCCTCAAAGTCTTCCAAGGCAACTCGCAGCTTCATCTCTTCTGCAGCGGTCATACGGTGAAGATTGTCGTTTCCAAGCCAGAACTCACCCTTAAGATTACCAAAACCAGTTTTGTAAGCCACCCAATCAAGATAAAAGTAACAGATCCATCCATACGTCTCTGAAAAACAGTCCATCCCCCACCGTCCGTCACCATATCACACAGAACTTTTATTGTTTTACCGCCATCTGGATTGACCATATATATTCCGTTGCTAACAAACCCATCTTGAAGAAGTTGCCAGCAACTTTTCGGTTCTAAAAAAGATCATATGAAAGAGACACATTTAGTTTTTATGGCCTGTAAGACGCTTTTTATATAGCACCCTTTTAAAGAACATCCAATTAAGTTTCAAAAGATCGTTAAGTGCTTCAAATATAATGCTTATGACCATTCCTATAATCGAAAACATCAAAATGATGTCCAGAAGAGTCTTTCTTTTTTTTTTTCGCGGGGGGGGGGGGGGGGGGGACTATTCTTCTTTCTAGAAGGCGTGAAAAATGGTTAGTACTCGTTGGCTTTTTGATACCTTGGATGGTAACGGCAAAAAACCAATCACCCGAAATACAGCCAACGAGGCTTTTTTTTGATTACGTTATCATGTTAGAAATAATTAATATCTTTATCAAATACAGAAAAGATAATATTTGATAATGATGTGTGTTATGTTTTTTTGTTTTTGTGGGGGGGGGGGGGGGGGAGGGGGGGGACTATTCTTCTATCTAGAAGACGTGAAAAATGATTAGTGATCTCTGGCTTTTTGATACCATGGATTGTAACGGCAAACACACAATGCACAGACATACAGCAAAGGATGCTTTTTTTTAGCTAGGTTATACGATTGTTAGTTATTTAATGTACTTACTGCAAGGTATCCCTGTGTAACCCACAGCACACAGGCAGGTGAACTTGTCTTCTTCGTAGTCAGGGATGCAGATTCCTCTTTCACCACAAAGAGAGTTTTCAGACTCACATATACTCTGTTTTCAAAGATACAGAAGACAACTTAGCTTGTCAGTTTTGAAACACAACTTTTTTTTTAAAAAAGTATAACTAAAATGTTCCTTATTCCCCTCCCCGCCCCCCGCCCCCCGCCCCCTTCCCCACAACTGAATAACAAAGTAAATTATGATCCGGTCATTCTATTCCCGGCGGCCGGGAAGATCAGGACTTGAGATCTGGAAATGCATGGTTAGACAATCTATTGAGTCGATATTAAAGCCCCATCTCACAACACATACACTGAGCCAACTCTTAGGTTGTTGGGAACAATAGAAAAGAGACATGTGACGTCTCAAAAATTCGCATTTGTGAAATTATGGGATTGATTAACATGGTTGGCAGAGGTGTAGCTGCCTTTAAGCCATTGAGCCCTGATTAAACAAAAATTGGGGTTAAACTGAGTTCATGTATTGGTATGTTAAAAGCGCAGTAAAATAGACCTTTTTATCTTATATCTTTTGTTTTCCCATTTCAGACCGGTGATGGTAAAACAGAGAACTGTTTCTTTCAAATGTCGTCCTATGCAAGTGCATCCACGTGCATATGTGTGTACTATTATGAACAAACAAACGCAAATTCCCTAAAGAACCTCACGTGGTCTGAATAAACGGGCCCAAAAGGTCTACTGTACAAATTTATGAGGAGATATAAGCACGGCTTTGGTCTGATTACTGTGATTACTGCATTACAAATTCCTCTAAAAAATTGTCTTGGATCTTAACGTTAACGATCCAGGCCTAGTTAGGGAGATTTATTTGGAGTAATCGGAGCATAACATTGTTGATATGCTCTCCAACATTGCACCGGCAGGGTAATTTTTAGCAGAAGCACATTTTTCGTCTTGTTCTTTCTGGATATGGCAACCAATCCCATAATTTCACAAATTTAGTTTTTGTGCCGTCATCACTTCTCTTCTCTTTCAACGGAACCATCACTGAAACTTCGTTGGTGTGGTTAACCATGTCAACCTTTGATGGGCTTGGTAAATTAATGCCCCAAAACCCATCCTGATGCTGTTACCAGGCTATTGTAAGGAGGGGTCTCTAAAACTTTTTCTCTGTGAAACTAAAAAAAGTCCTTTTCACTTTAAATAGTTATATATGATTGGAGTCGACCTTTTGATAGAACAATGAGGATAAAATGGCAGTATTAATACACTTCAAGCAGAGAGAACAACTAACCTTCATTCCCCTATACAGCATATCTTCGTCCTCTGTAAAGTTTTGATGTCCACTAAATCGATCAGAGTCGCTCAACTGGCAGCTAAATTTTCCTTGCATGTCGCTTATTGTGGCAAAGTTATAAGACAAACAACGGAAATCTTGCACACACGCTAATTGACAAACGGATTCAGAATCAACTGAAATATTTTGAATTATACCTGCCGCAAGCTTTTTTCCATATATCGCCTCAGAAAAGTTAATGGCTTGGAAGTCAACGTGGTTAATACGGCTAACAGCGAATACAGCCGTACAGACCATCAGAGCCAATATGAAGAGCTGATTCATATTTGTACGAGCGGGGAAAGCAAAACACAGGTTCACAAGTTAGTGAACTAAACATTTAAGACGGTTGCATAGGATTTGGATTAAACTAACCACAAATATTATTGTTTCCATTTTGGGATTAATTGCGAACGGTGGGTTTGATACGACTTAGTTTTTCATCGAAGCAATAATGAATTAAGAAAAAAATGTTTAAAAAAGTCTTTAGGTATGAAGTCACAGAACTAGGCTGTCACAAAACTGCGATAACAAATTAAGCCTTTTGCTTTTTTCTTAGATTAACTGGTAAACTTGGATGAGTACAGAAAATGCAATGAATAAAATTGAAAACTACTCTTTCCTTTTATAATAATTTATTCATTAACCTGATTTTGTGGGCGCGGTGAACTAACATGATATGGATTATATATTATGTTTGGAAATCCATAAAATATTAAGTTCGATACTGTTGGATTAGATTGATAAAGTTCCATTGGTTGATTATGAGATGGTAAGGGAGTAAGAGAGCTTTTATTAGCTCGCGGGGGATTATTGCATTGAGTACACTAAATTACTAACTTGTTGTATTCGGAATCATACGCGGGCCGGCACCGCAGATTAATCGTACTTTACCGTCGAGAATTAGCATAGGTATAAAACTCCCTGAACAAGAGATTAAGGCCCTCTTCGCACTACGAAAAATTTTGCTTACTTTGCAAAACAAACTGTTGTAGTGTGAGCGATTTTTTCACCTACCAAAATTGTTGTTAACAGGGCCTAACTGATGAAACTATGAATTAGTGTCACTTAGACACTCGCTAGCTCTATCTCGGACGTACACGCAAATGCATACCCCCACCGTCAACCTCGTCCCCAGGGCTTTTCCCTTAAAAAATGGGTGGGGCGGGAAAAGGCCCTGGCATCGGCTGGTCACGTGTCCACTCGTACACCCTAAAATCCTGGGTGTAATAAATTAGCGCTATGTGAAAAGCTAAAATTATGCGTAACCTCACACAGGCAGCCCAAGCGCACTATGTGTGGGTTCGGGCTTCAGAGGTCATTTGGTCGGAATATACTAGAATTATTAGTGTATTATCTGATGCTAAATAAACGCAAAAATCTTAAAGATATGAAGTCTTCTTGTTTGTCTATCTGTACTAGTAGCCTTTAAGATAACGAAGATCGATATTTCTTGTAATATTACATGTGATTCGGGCCCTTAATGTTCGAATTTTGTCACATGTATTCGAATCTACAACGCTAAGAAAAAAAAAATCATGATCACGCGAAATATTGATTCAAAAAGCTCCCTTACCTTCAGTTCATAGCCAATCTGTGTCCTACGGCCGGTTTAAACGCCGTTTAGTCGACTTTCTCTCCATCGAGTACTGAACACTATAATGTTCAGTACTCGATGGAGAGGAAGTCATAGTGACACATAGTGCGCTTGGGCTGCCTGTGAACCTCACAGCGCGCGATCTTGGGCGGCCTTTTATATCTCTTGACGAGTAACGAAAAGTTTACAAGATTTCTTTTTTGTCACAGATACTGGCTATGGTAATTTTTTGCTTTCCTCCGATTTCTATGAAGGACACAGCGAGCGGTAACATTTGTAAAACTTCCTTTATAGAGCGATATAAATGACAAGCAAGCTATCGCACATGCATAAAGTTTGTACTGGCGTGGAAAAGTCCGTTTTCGCGACTCTTTTGATATTTTATTTATTTCTTGCGAAGTGGACCGCCGTACACAACCTAGTTCTATTCACCTTGACTCTCAGCCATATCATAGCGACACGCGTTGGTTTAGACTTATCTAGTATGACCTGTATTTTTAAAAAATTCATTGACCTCTGCGAGACTTGACCGAAACCGGAAACCGCGCATGAAAAGTTTCTGGCACTCAGGGTATCAAACGACTGGTAACAAAGAAAGACTTGGGTCCATTTAAAATTGACAGAGCTGTAGTTGATTCCAATCGATCGGTCAATCTTCCCTTTAACATAAGGAAAATCCTTTCTACTTATCCTCGGAAGAGAAAAGATATAAGAGATCTTAAAATGCTTCAGATCGGCGACCTGTCATCGTTCCTGGCTGGAGAGCTGACTTGCATCCGGCGCGGAGATTTGTTTGTTTAATGGTCGGGTTGTAGAGAAGACCAGACTCCATAAAGCATTTTGATGAACAATTCTATTTCAATTAAGTTCAATTTGTTTAAATTCACTGCAGATCCTAGAGGCAATACCCTGCGAGCAGAGGCCCGCAATCACTTTCTGCTTGATCGTACAGTAATTCAACAGTCACGATGAATTTCAGTCGAAGTACTACTCTGGGAACGAGGTTGTCAACTCTGAAGCATTTGACATATTTTGTACGTGACAACGTAGAGCCGGTACGCCCTTTCATAAACTTGTAGCATTTGAATAATACGCAATTAAATGGATCTTAAGCTTTTGAATCGCACAGACGCGAAAATATTGACATACAGTAGGCGATATTATTATTTTCCATTGTTGCTCCGTTCGACTTCTGTCAGCGCAAAACCAGCGGGTTGCATATAAATTAGCTTCTCATGAATATTTAGGCTGTGCACGTGACTAGCCGATGCCAGGGCCTTTTCCCGCCCCACCCATTTTTTAAGGGAAAAGCCC